CAGCGGACAGTAATCAGACTGAGAAAACAAGATCAACACATTTATTTTTACGCTAAGACTTCTTTAAGTATTATTGACACAAACTCGTTAATTATTAAATTAAAATTTGTATTGTAAACATCTATATTTTACACTGAAGATGGCTTGATATTCAAGCCGAAACGTATGTTATTATTTATATTTGAAATATATGTCTTTCTGCACGTACATCCAGCAGTGGCTCTTGTTGTCCTTTCTTATGTATTGATTATTTAATCATATGAACCTTTAAGAATTTTATTTGAATTATAGTTTTTGTTGCATAAAGAGTTGTGTAAATAGTATTGAGTGTGTTGAAAAACACAACGGTTATAAAATCCTTGAATAATAATTGTCTGTGATATTGCACTACTTGATACTTTACAATATCGCCCCATTATAAATTTAAAAAAACACCAACCCCAAATTACAACCTATAAAACAATAAATATACATAAAAAATATGAGTTACAAACATTTAAATGTACAATAAATAAATAATCACTTACATTTTAGTTTACATTTCTTGCAAAAGATATAAAATTAAAACGGTTTTCAATTTTATGAAATTTGAATAGATTAATTGTTCGACACACGCGCGCACGCACGCACGCACGCATGCACGCGCGCACGCGCGCACGTACACGCCCACGCAAACGCGCATGCACACACACACGCATATGCACACACACACGCACATGCGCGCGCGCGCGCGTTGTCTCAAAGCCTTAAAAATCTTGCAACGGGTAAATATCTCTAAAATAAAGCATTTTTGAGAAAAATGTTTCAAATAAAAGTTGTAAAGTTTTAAGTGCCGCATTAAGTAACAATGTTAGTGTGACCTTAGATAGCGTTGTTAAGATCATGTAAAAATCACTTTAAAATTTTTTAATAGAAACCCCCATTTTTGATTGCATATTCTCAAGGGGGTAACCACTAGCTAAAATGTTGTCCCACAGATTTATGATTTTATTTGATTTCATACGATTTCATCTGATTACAAATGATTTCATCTGATTACAAATGATTTTATCTGATTACAAATAATTTTCTTCATTACATATGAAGTCATTTGGTAAAATACATGATTTCATTTGATTACACAATGATTTCTCGTGATTGCATATGTAATCATCAAATTAAAAATAATTTTATTTGATTAGAAACACCATAATTAATTGCTAATTTGTTTAACAAAAAGTAATTTTGTATTTGTATCTACTGTTTATTGTTCCAAATTTGCGCGCAAAGGTGTATCAATGTTTCAACTCACTATTGTTCTAACAGCAACTACTGCAATTTCGACTGCAATCTTATTGTGAAATGAATAATACGCGCTTACAGGTATGAACTATGATAGATATTTGCATTTTTATTAAAAGATGCAAACTTTTTGAGAAAATAAAAACAAGATGAGAAAAAGTTCAAATTCAATGTTTATTGTCTAAAGCTCACTTTAGATGATCTATAATCTGCGACCAAATTTGGAATAGAATTCTATTTATATTTTTACGTGTCGTGTAGAAAACATTTGAACAAGTAAATCACACACACACACACACACAATACATATCAAGATACACATATACATTTGGGACATGTGACATATAAAATTATAAATAGAATTTTATCTTGAATTTGGTCGCAAATTATAGATTGTTTAAAGTGGGGCTTAAATAAATTCCAAACAAATACTATATTATGTATAATAATAAGAATGATCAAAGGTTATAAAAAGTACCATAAAATAAAAAATGAGAGAACATAAACATAATGACAAACATGTTTTATTGCTTCACAACAAAAAATAAAAATACTTTATGTTCTACGAGCACTTATGTAGCTTGTCTCGTTATTACGTTACATAAAAATAAACCAAATATAAACAAAACGGCTATATAATATATAACTTTCCAACAATAAAAAAATAAATATTATTTAGAAACTTATCCTAACTTATAAGTTGCAAGTTCCTGTGGAGAAAATGAATAAAGTCCTTTGGCATCAATATTAGGAGAAGATAACTTACGTACAATATTAACAGACTTAACTACACAAATATCGTCTCGCTTTGGAAAATAAAATAAATAATTTTCTTTCTTCTTCATAAATTTAATGTTATATTCATTCTCCTTTGAGAAAATCACAACTCCTATGTAATAAATAAAGGACTTATTAGTTTCGAAAGGAACTAATACATAATCATTAGGGTTAGCTATTGGCTCAGTCTCAACGAAAGATTTGATATATTTTAAAACAGTTTCGTGGAGTTTTAATTTGTTCTCTATAAATCCGTTGGTAATAGTACATACATAATTTCTCAAACTTATGTATCCATGGCTCTCTATTAATATAGGTTTAACATTTCCTTCGGTATCGTAACTATACCACGAACACAACACTCCTACTTCACGATTTGACTCATAATTGATAATTGCACATTCTTTGGAAAATTCTCTGGATTTTCCACTTTTACCTTGAAGGTAAGAAAAACTTAAAATCAAACCCAAGAGTATTACATTTTTTTCGGTCTGTCGAAACAGGCACCACTCACCGACAGTTACATCATCACAAGTTCTACAAGATGGTGTTAATAGATTCGATCTTAAAGTAGATTTTGGCTTGGAGGAAAATTCTTTTTCCATTACACGCTGTAAACGATCACTACTGAGACGACCACAATTTTTATTGAGAAGTCAACAAATAGACGATTTTCTAACAACCATTTCTTTACCACGCGCATCTGCAACAATGGTAAATGGACTTGTTTTACTTAGTGCAAGTGTTGTTTCGCCATAATTTTTCATATTAAGATAACTCGTCAGACATGCATGATAAAGTGGACACATCTTCAAGGATATCTTTTGCTGGAAATTCGTCATCTTCTTGCTCCATACTTCTAGAAGTAGAAGCTCGAATAGAAGCTGATGTAATCGTACTATTTTCTCTAGTGCCGTCTACATAGTCATATAAAATATCGTTTTCATCTCGGTTTTCACCATCAAAGAAGTCGGCTTTAGAGTCATCAACTCTCGCATCAACTATTAAAGGTAAATTGCAATTTAGTTCTCCCGGCTCTAGATCAAACTTGTGAGCATCAGTGATAGCTTTTTTCCTAGCTTTTTCGATCGCTTCGTAAATATCGTCATTAGTTGGTAAATTGGGCTGAATCTGTATTGTTTTCACTTTATATTCTATTCTCGGGAAACTAATATTTTTATTTAATTTGCTGGCTAAGATATCGGTTTGTAATTGTATCTTCTTAATTCTGTGTATGACATCAAGTAAACTACAATTTACAATAGTCGAGTAAGTAGTGGACATAGATCTAATTTGACGAAAAAATGCCTCACAAGGCTGACTACTAAACAATGGCGGCATAAACAAATGTGGCATATTGCAATCTCTTAACTTTTGTATCATATTTATCATACTATGTGCATTGATTCAATACAGGCATAACAATTTAAACTTAAAAAGTTGTCTGTTAAAGTATACTTTCGGTTACCTTTTATCCAGTTGCGCCATATTCGTATTATAAACACACAGTACCATAATTTAGATAGCCTTTCTAAAGGTGTTAAATAGAGATCAGTATATGACAGTATTATATAATTTAATAATTTTAAATATAGCACGGTACCCTCAGAATCAGGGATATGATTAAGTAGTAATTTCCGAACATATTCTTGTGATATTTGTTAGCAGATTCAAAATTCATTTTGTCTTTAGATTCAATATCGGATAAAGATAACAAATGCTTATCCTTGGACACAATATTTATCAGTATTTTTAAATGATTTACAGAAATAAGTTTGTTCCCGAACGGTAGTAGAATAGAGGGTTTCAATAACCTGTTTCTAAATTTTGTAGCTATGTGTATGGTATCTTGTACAAAACCAATGTCAGTGTATATAGCATTGAACCACGGCCAATTTGAAGTTAAATTCGAGATTGAAGTACTGCACACCTGTGAAATTCCCAAATGTATTTCCGTGCGTTGCTTTTAATAAACGAGGATCTCCATCTGACGAAAATCCGAGTACAGTTATTCCAAATTTAGCTAGTTCTTTAAGAACGAATTTCCAGCGTGTGATGACATCCTGTGAAGTAAACTTATTATCAGTACCAAATAAGGACAGACAAAATGGACCAGTATGGTCTGCGATGGGTTGTGCCATAATGGCATAAACTAATGAGGCAGTCGTTTCTTTACTAAAGTGATGTTCAATTTCCTTGGCTGATCTGGCCAGAAATGAATATGATATAGGCATTCCATCCTTATTAAGTGGTAAAAACTAGTCCTATTAACTGATTTGTTGAAGAATCATATTGAATTTTACCAGTTATTCTTGTAGCATCCTCCGAGATCCATATAGTAGGAGGCAAGTTTCTTTCACGTAGGTAAGATTTCAGTTAATCGCAACGTAATTCTCCCTCAACTATTTTTTGCCCATTCTCTTGCAAGTATCTGCTTATAGACGTAGGAGAAGGTAATGGAAGATTTTTATACAGTGTTTCGTATAATAATCTTCCTCCAAGCATAAATATATATGTAGAAAATAACTTGAGGGTTTCACTGTATCTAAAACCAGGGTTTGACATTTGATTTGACGCGTTTATATTCTTTTCAGCAGAATTAATTAATATTTGTAATAAAAAAGTGTTTTTCTCACCATAATTTTTTCTAACATTTTTTTCCGAATTTTCTTCTCTAATTAATAAAGCATTCTCTAAACACATCTTTAACTCTATATTTTTTTGTAAAATTAGATCAATGTCATTTAAAATTTAAAAAAATTGCGGTATTCGAGTTTGGTTTTTTGTAATGGATCTATAGCGTAATCTCTGTCTTTTGTATACTCGAGATCTTTTGTCCTTACGTTTTATAATTTTGTTCAAGGTTTTGTTTGTAAAGCTATTGGCGCGTGATGGTGATGGTGTTTTCCTGGAGCAATATGCGCCTTGACTACTCCAGGAAGTTATTCCCCCGAACTCGCTGTTTCAGTGATGTCCTCCGAGATGCCGTTTTTTGCAGAATCCATAGCATTCGTCGGTTCATCGTCCTCAAGCTGATTTTCTGAGGGGGACTGCAAAAAGAAGTTCTCAAGAGGCACTTGTTTTATTTTTCCAACGGGATGGTTATTGCTGTATACCCGTGTATCACGCCCGCAAGGACTGCCCGCATTGGAAAAATGAGATTTGAGGTGCCTCTCAAAATTTGATTTTACCCATCTCATTTTTCCTTGTTTCCCATATTCGAGTTTATGGGCTTTTGTCTTTTTCTGACATATGGGGCAAATAATATTAGCCTCGATCTTAGCAGCATAGTTAGAGCTCTCCGAACTATCATTTATTCTTTCTTCAATGATATTTATTTCCACAGAAGCAGGCGAAAAGTTCTCGACAACATGCTTCTCGACTTGCTTATTTACCTGGTAAATAATTTTTGAAAATTGCAATTTAACATCATTTTAATTTAGAGATTATCATTACTTTGTTAATATTAAAATAAAGATCTCAATATACCTATTTATTTAAGTTAAAAATAGGTTTTTAACCAATACGTGTTGAAAATTTGAATTATCCTTGTAGTTATCAAGTTATTCTTAATTATCTTATTAGTTAAATTTTGAATTGTTATGTTGTTCATTTATTTGCGTTTATTTGTGTAATTTTAATAATTAATTAAGTATTATACCAGTAATGTATACCTATTACATAAATTAGATACATATTTGAATTAAATTATATACTTACTTTATTTGGTTTTTCAACCATGCCATTACTAAGCCATAAAGACTGTCATGCTCAGCGTTCAAATTAATGTCAACGAGAGTGTCTGGATTTGATCCACTATTGGTATGCTGCGAGGAATTCGGCGAGAAGTCTTCATTTTGAAGTTTACTTGCTGTTTGACTTGCACAGTTTTTTCGCTTTTGATTCATAGTGAAATTCATGCTTTT